TGCCAGCAAGCACAAGCAGGAGATCCGGAAGAATCCCGAGTTCCGGGTGCAGTTCCAGGACATGTGTGCCACCATTGGGGTGGACCCTCTGGCCTGTAAGGAGCTGTCCACAGGGCTGTGGTGTTCTCGTAGGGCTCCGGAGGGGCGGAAGCTCATCTGGCTGTCATTACTGTGGCTAGGGCCCCTTCCAGAAGGCCCTTCTAGAAGGGCCTGCAGGGAGAGCCAGCGGCTGTTGTCTCCAGGGAGTGCCCAGCAGGATGGCTGAGTGCGCAGGGGGATTGGGAAGCTGGAGACACTGGCCGCGGGCTAGTAGCCAGGGTATGGGCCTTCCCGTGAGGGACCTCCAGTGGAGTTTCTGAACGGCTATTTCTCCCTTTATTAAAAAGATAATTTAGTTTTAATGAAAGTAGCGTGTAATCATGGGGTCAGTCAATAAAGGAGAAAAAAGAAAAAGAAAGTACAAGTCTTCTGACCCTGTCCCACAGTGGCAGAGATAAATATTAACAGTCTAAGATAGCTTTCTGGACACCTTCATCCTATTTATAAACTTTTTTTTTTTTTTTAACATATCAGATTATGCTATAATTACTACTCTGTAACCTGCATTTTTTTACCCAGACAGCTGTTATCTTCAGTGGATTTTTGAATGCCCGGTCTGCATATCGTTTCTCTCAGCCTTGTCTAGATCCTGTGTCCCATTATATTTCACTGTATAATTTGGGAAAGGAAGGCTCATTTTTATAGTGTTCTGAGCCAGAATTCGCCAAATAGAAATGCCTTTTAGATTGCCCACCTGTCCGAGCCTGGTTTTTAGGAGGAATTTCCAAGAGTCCAACTGTCTTGAGGATCCTGAGTAGTAAATGGAGCCCCAGGACTTAGGCTAGGCAGGGAAGGCTTCCTATAGGATAGGTGTTTTAATCTAGCTTTGAAAGAAAAGAAAGGATAGAAAATAACCTATAACCTGCTTTTGTTTTTCTGTCTTTCAGCTGGAAAAGGATTTTGGTCTGAGATGCTAGGTGTGGGGGATTTCTATTACGAGCTGGGTGTCCAGATTATTGAAGTATGCCTGGCCCT